TGTGTCCCCTCCCAGCTTCTTGTGCACCCCCAGCCTACTCGCTGGTGGGGTGGTGTGGGAAGCAGAAAAGGCCTTGACTCTGTCTGAGCACTGCTCAGCAATGACTGAAACATCCTTGTGTTATCAACACTGTTTCCAGCACAAATCCAAAATATAGCCCCATACTAGCTACTATGGAGAAAATTAACTCTACCCCAGCCAACACCAGCACACATGCTAATAGCGAAAAAGGAAACAATGCCAACTAAGGAGAGTGCAGTCTGGAGTAAGGAGCCCTGTGACCATGTTCTCTGCCTCTGGCTGCTGATTCCTTAGTTCATATGCAAAGCACTGAAACCTAAATTTTCACACATCATCTAATCTGGAGAGTATTACCTTCCAGGTGCCTGAATGTATACCTAAGTCAGACTTGTCCCAAAGATGTGTATCATGAAGGGTTAGGAACGAGGAAAAACTAATGCCTTCTAAGCTCAGATTATGTCATTCTAGTAGGGCTGTTCCCATTTGCCCTTCTCTTGAAGAGCTATAGGAGCCTCGATCACTAGGACACGAGGACACAGGAGTCCTCCGACCAGCCCTCACCCCCTTGGTCAAACCATGGCATATATGTGCTCTTCTGGGGCTGCTGTGGAAGCAGGACAGAGCAAAGGAAACAAATTTTTTACCTGTCCCAAGCTCTTTCTCCATTAGGTTATTTTAAGGGAGGATCTTACGTTTGCTCACATGGGTCAAGTTCGCATCAAGGGTAGCACTGATTTGGGCCTTTGAGGCCCAGCAAGTGCTGAGTACTGGTAGTTCAGCAGTAACCAAGTGGGAACAAAAGGATCAGTAGGTGCAGTGAAACCAAAATGTCATAATATTTAGCAGAATTTTCCTGACATGACTAATCCAGGAGATTCACGGGGTGAGCCTTAGTAAATATCAGCTGAATGCATTTTTATGTAATTAATATTCTATCAGGTGATCCTAACCATTAACAAGAGCCTGTTTAAAGAAACAAGGAAATATTCCAGTAGGCTAAGGGAGGTGTCATATAATGGAGTATAATTGGTGTGGGATTTTTATTTGTTAAAGCAGAGCCTCTGCCCCTGCTGGTGGCTCTGGACTGGCTCGCTACGTGCTCCACAGGGAGGATGCTGCCAAGCCCTCTGACAGTACGTTGTTGAACATTCCGCTCCATTTCTGCAATGCTAAAAATAGCTGTCCTCATTTTAAAACACCGGGCTATTAGATTATTCCAAGGGTCTGGCATACTCAGGGTAATGGAAGGCACATACGCATAAATTATCAAAACAGTAAGTAGTGTTTGACTGCGCTGATTTTACTTCTATTAAGATGAGTTTCCTTGCTAGTAACCCTGGAGTACCAAGCCTATTCTGTAAATGAGGCTCCTGTCAGTGCCCCAGTAAATTTAAAAATAAAAGGAAGAATGTTTGTTCTTCATATTGAGGATGGAGAAGCATCTGACTCCTTCTTGGTGGATTTTTTTTTTTTTTTAAATTTTGCAGAATCACATCTGCAAAATGTTTAAAATATTTCACAGCAATTATTTCTCTTTCCCAGCCTTGAAGAGAATCTCATGAAGTTCCAGCGTGTTTGCCGTTATAAAATGTTCTAAATAGCAAAACGCATTCCAAGTGATTGATACAAGTTTCTCTTAACTCTTTTTTATTTTTAGTTAATGTGATGCCTAATCCATTTTTGGCACCGTATTGTTTGGTAGTACAAGTAATCAATGCACTAAATAAAGTTCACATACTTATATGTTAAGATAGTCTCTCTTTTTTAAAATCTTTTTTAATGTGAAAATCTCTTATTTAGGGAGAAAAATAGCTAAAAGTGGAAGTCGAGGTATACAAATTAATGTAAATGCATTCTAAGAAAGTTGAGGTACACACATATCAAGCATCTTACTCTATCTTGAAAACCTTTAGGTATAAACTGAATCCCTAATTTTATGGGGTGTTGCAGTGCAATTACAAACTGCAAAATCAATAAACGATAAATACATTAAGAACCCTGATTATAAATACACTGCACATTTCCAAAATAGTTAAAGCAACAACAACATTAATTACTTTTGATTTAATAAGAATCAGTATTGATGTAGGAGGTTATTTTTGCATTGTTGTGTTGAAGGGATAATCATTTGTAGAACACTGATAAAACAGTGTAAGGGAAAACATCTCTGGCTTGTCTCCACACAAAAACAATAAATGTAGCTGGTTTTTTTTCTAGTTTACAGTGATCCAATATAGCAGAGAAGATGAAATTTTATTAACTGGTAACTATTAGACTATGAAGAATTTTTCTGAATACATGTTGTAAATCTGGAGAAAACGAACGACTAAGGATTACTTGTAATGATTAATTAGAATTTTTCTCCAGCACACTCGCATCTATTTTTACAGAGGGGAGCTGGAAGGAAGATACTGGAAACTGCTATGAGTGGAGTTAGAAAAATGCCATTTTAACAAGTTATTTTAAGCTGAATTTTAATTGTTGTATATCATGAGTGCTTTGTATTTATCTGCTTAATTACTTGTATCATTTTGATGAGTAATTGTTCTTTTATTGTCTCTTTCTGTTGTTAAGAGAGATTGGAGTTTTTCCTTTGTCTGTTCTTTTTTTGCGTCTGTGAGGTATTTGTCTTCTGCTTGGCTTGGAATCAAACAAGTGAACTTTCAGAACTTTCTTTTGTTGCTGAATTCTGGCTTGGCTAGAAAACTGAATTGGATGGCATGCGAGTTACTAGGGCAAACTTCTGTCAAGGAATTAAGACCCATGAATGGAATGGATAAAGCATTTGAGTTTAGATTCCTTTAATAAGTCTTCTAAGCTCCCACTTGAAGTCTCATGAGCACGGATGAATTCTTCTCACAGAACTTAGTTTAGGAACCTTAGATTTATTGAGACCAAAATTAATGTACTTCACGGTGGCATATTTCATGAATCTGTAAATGGAGGGTGGTTCTTAGCTTTGAGTGGCAGAGCCTGGTTCTCTCTAGGTCTGTAATTGTTTAACAAGCTTTGCGAAGAAGGAATGGAAAAGGAAATGGCTGCAATATTTTATATTTTGATTCTAAATGAGATATTACTAGGTTTTTAACTATACCTCTTCCTTGGAAAGCCTGATATTAAATGCAGAATTGAAATGTCTGTGGCTTTCAACTCAGAGCTATTGATTTATTTTTTTTCTTTTGCTCAACTAGTGCTTATTCAGATATTGAAGATGAAGTTTACCATGTTACTCAGCTTGGATAGTTACCTTTTAAAAACTTTTTTGATGAACATTGTGCTTGTTTATACTTATGCTCAGTTGCTGAGCATAACTTTTAAGCATCCGGTTTCTTGAACAGAATTTACAAACCCAGAACAGATTCTTAATTTTCAAGGAGAAATTAATTGGGGGGGGGCAGGGGGTAACTAAGTCAAATGAACAGCTGATTTATTTTGCTCTTTTAAAACATGGGGTAGAGGAGGCAGTAATTTAATAACATATACAGAACATTCACTTACGAAGTAGGAGAAACAGATTTTTGTCTGCCTGGTTGCACAGGATCAAGATTTGCATTTCCTCCTGCTGAGTAGGTTGGGCACTCCCCTAGAGATGGGGAAAAGATCTGAAACTCCCCTTTGACTGAGCAGAGCCTGGAAACCAGCAATCTGCTTCGTATGTACAGCTCCCTGTGGGACCTAACATTTTAAGTGTAGATCCCTGTGGGCTCAAGCGCCTAATAGGTATGAGGGAGAGAGTGGAAGCTGTGGCACTCTTATTGGGATTTTACGTACTTGGGTAGTATGCAAGTGTCTTCTGAAGTATTTTTTTCTGAATCAGGGCCTGAAATAAAACTTCAGAAAGATTTTCACATGATCCAAACTCTCTAATCTTTTTTGTCGTCCAGTTGTCTGAAGCAATCTACAGCTATATCTCCTGCATGATTAGATAACCTGTAATTGTTACTTGCCTAATATTTTGAAAGTTAAATGTATTTTAACCCAATATAAGTCAGCAGACATAAACAACCCTAGAAATCAATTCAGCTGTTCTGTAGAAAAAGAATGAGAAGCAATACATGTCCAGATGTTTTTTTTTTCTCTTAATTTAGCTCCGTCATGAGATAGGTCTGTAAAATGATGGCTATGTACATTTTGTTTCAGGGGGAAGCTGGCTTAGTAGGTGCTCCTGGCATACCTGGTCTTACTGGTTCCAAGGTAAAACAATAGAAATAAAAGAATAAAGCAGTCTCATTTTATGTGTTTTTACTCTCAATATTCTTTTTGCCAGCTGTCCAGTATCTACATAAATTGGATTTGAATTACATATCCAGTTGCCGAGTTGTGTGATGTGACAGAGAAACTTTACTATCAGCTTCTCTTTCAAAAGAGAAAGTATGTGAGGTGCAGGGGCACAAACCTGCTTATCAGTATTATTTTGCATTAAGAGTGGTCGCCAAAGTCTCAAAACTGTGCAGGTTTTTCCAGCCACAAGATAGCAGATTCAAAAATTTGAAATTTGAGAGTCTCGTGATCTCAGCAAAATGAGATGAGGGATGGCACTGCTTCTTCCGCTCTTCCATTTTAATCTTTTGCTCCTTTCCAGAGGCGGAATATTGTAGGAAGGCCAGAACTTGCAAAAAGGGACATCTGTATTATAGACCTTGCTGGTAATGTTTGTTAAAGACTTTTCATGGTCAGATTTTGTTTTCTGTTGATTGCAGCTGTGTTTAACCATAAGTATTTGGAATGAAATCTTAATGTTACATGCGTCTGTCCAGCTAATTCCTTTTAGAAAATTGTAGGGGAAATAGCTCTGCTCCTTCCACAAATTAAGGGACTACACAAAAAAACCCTATTATTTTGTTCATATTAAAATTTCAAGAAAGCGTTCTGCAGCGTGACCTTGATGCAAAGGGCTGATTTGTGTATCTTTAGGGCAGATACTTCCTGTAATATAGCACAAAGGGAAGAAAGGAACTTATTTTCTGCAGCTGAGGTAGCTGCATTGAGTTCCGCAACATGCTTACCACGATCTATCAATTTATACGTTCAAAGCCAGGATTTCATTGACTTGTACTGCAGGCATATTTAAAACGCTGAAAATCAGATCAGCAGTCCTGCAGTGAGTATCAACACGAGTAATCAGTGATTGTCCATGAAAAATCTTGTGTGAAATGTTTTGCCTAACTTAATATGAGAATTCTGCCACAGAAAGGAGAATTTGTCAGTCATAAATGTGTTATTTTGCGACTTTCACGTTTTTATTTCTGCAACATGAGAATTCTTTGAAGTAACTTACCAGTGGCTAATATTGTTATATTTTTAATGCTGTGAAGTGGAAATTACCTAAATTTCTTTCTCTACACTTTCTGTTGACTGTATTTCTTATTTTCAGTAATTGGAAATAATTTTTTTAAATTCAAATATGTGCAAAAAATCTGGACATTTAAACTGTATTTCTGAAAAAGAAGGAATTAGTTAATCACCCCATACATTGGTACAGGCAGAGAACTGACAGGTTGAGCAGCAGCATTGCTGAAAAGGACCTGCAGGGTGGACATGAGGCTGGGTTTAAGCTAACAGTGTTCTCCTATTGGGAATAAAGTGAACCACGTATTGGACTGTATTAGTAAAACTGCAGCTGGCAGATCAGGGGAAGGTATTTTCCCCCGTTTGCTTGGTGGTGCTGCATCTGGTATGCTGTATCATGTTTGGGTGGTCTTCCACCCTCACTTCTTCAAGAGATGTGGAGAAACCAGAGAAGGGTCCAGCAGGGAGCTGTTGTTTGTTCAGGGGCCTAGAAAACAAGACCTTTGAGGAGAGTTTCAAGGAGCTAAGTTTGTTGAGTCTGGCAAAGAGGAGGCCAAGGAGCCATCGAGACTGTCCTGCAGGCCTAAGGAGCCTAGCTGGTTGATCTTCAAAGACAGCTTCCTAAAAGCCCAAGAACAGTCTGTTCTGATGTGCAGCAGGTTGAGCAAGCATGGCAGAAGGCCAGCATGGATGAAGAGGGAGCTCCCGACTGAGCTCAGACACAAAAAGCAAGTAAACAGTGGAAGCAAGGGTGAGCTACCCAATAGGAATATAGAAACGTTGCCAGAGCATATGGCAATGGAGTTAGGAAACCGAAAACTCATCTCAAATTGAAACTAATGGGGGCTTTGAAGGGGAGCATGAAGGGCTTCTGTTAAGTGCATCTGTAGCAAAAACAAGGCTGAAGAAAATGTTGACCAACTGCTTAATGGGGTGGGGGACATGGAAAAGGCCGAGAGTACCCAATGCCTTTTTTGCCTTGGTTTTCACTAATGAAGTTTGCTCTCAGGCCTCCCAGGTACTTGAGCCTCCTAGCACAGTGTGTGAGAATGAGCCATTACCCACTGAAGGGGAAGAGAGTGTTAAGGAGCCCTTAAGCTAATTGGACATTTACAAGATACCAAACAGTATGCATCCAGGGGTGCTGAGAGAGCCGGCTGATGTCACTGCAAGCCTGCCCTCTGTCATTAGCAAAAGATCATGATGACTAGGGGAGGTTTCTGATGATTGGAAACAGGCAAATATCACATTCATCTTCAAGAAAGTTCCAGGGAACTGTAGGCCAGTTAGCCTCACCTCTGTCCCTGAAAAAATTATACAGCAAATTGTGGAAGGCATTTCTAAACACATGAAGGACTAGAAGGTGACTGGGAACAGCTAGGATGGATTCACCAGGGACAAATCATGCCTGACCAACCTGATTGCCTACTCTGACAAGATGATTGTCTGCGTGGATTAGGGGAGAGCAGTGGATGTTGCATACCTTGACTTCAGCCGGGCTTTTGGCACAGTCTCCAGTCATATTGTCAAATCTGTGAGATATGGACTGGATAAATGGACAATAAGATGGGTGGAACATTGGTTGGATTGTTGGGCTCAAAGGTGGAATAACTGCTGTGCGGTCCAACTGCCTGCCCAGTAACTCGTGTCATCCCCCACGAGGTGATACTGGGGCCAGTATTGTTTGGTGTCTTTATTAATAACCTGGATGATAGGATTCTCAGCAAGTTCGTGGATGTTATCAAATGTGGGGAAGTAGTCAGTGCTCTGGAAGGTAGGGCAAGGATGATATTCAGTGGGACCTCAACATGCTGGAGAAAAGGGCTAATGCAGAACTCAAGAAGTTAAGCAAAGGCAAACATGAGGTCCTGCCTCTGAGAAGGAATAGCCTTGTGCAACAGTACAGGCAAAGTGCCAAGTTGCTAGAAAGCAGCTCTACAGAAAAGGAGTTTGGGGGTCCTGGTGGGTGCCCTTGTGGTGGAGAAGGCCAACTGCATCTTGGGCTGCCTTAGCAAGAGCACGGCCAGCAGGTCAGGAGGAGTTATTATTTGGCACTTTTGAGACCGCATCTGGAGTTCTGTGTCCAGTTTGGGGCTTCCCAGGAGAGGAGAGAGAGCAGCTCACTGGGGCGAGCCCAGTGGAGGCGCACCAAGATGGCCAGAGGCTTGGAGCCCACGATGCATGAGGGGACGCTGAGGGAGCTGGGCTTGTTCAGCCTTAAGATGAGATGATTGGAAAGGGGGAGGGTGATGTGCAGACTCATTGCTTTCTGTAAGTACTGGGAGGGTGCTGAGAAACCAGAGCCAGACTCTTCTCAGAGGTGAAAGGACAAGAGGCAATGGACACAAACTACAACAAGGGAAATTTTGACTCTATCTAAGAATAATTTTTATATAATGAATTGGGAATTGAGTAAAGACAGGATATGTAGTCTCACAAATGGAAAAGCTAAATGAAGAAAACACTTTGTTTCTAGGAATTTGTCAAAAGTGAATAGGCTTAGCTGTGTTGTATGTCCAACAGTTGGAGAAGAATGGGAATCATAGAATCATAGAACAACCCGGGTTGGAAGGGACCTCAAAAGATCTTCTGGTCCAACCTTTCGTGAGAAAGGGAAACTAGATGAGCAGAACAGAAGTTGCATACATGCAGAAATAATTTCAGTAATTAACCACTCATTTTTAGGTGAGGACATATGGATGGTTATTTCACTAGATCCCATTTTGCATGCTTGGTCTTGGGCGTGCTTCTAAAATTGACCTCTAAGCTGTTGGTTGCGTGAGCCACCCCAGCCAAAAGAAAGCAAACAAAAAGCAGCCGCTGTAGGTGGTTGATGAAAAGTCCAGAACTATTTGATAATCTATAATACCTGCACATCTCCAAAGCTTTGAATTTAATTCCCAGATGTGTAGTACATGATGCTATATCAGTTGAAAGATTTGACAAAATGCTGCTAGAAATTTTGCAAGTTGTAGCCTGCTGTTCTAGTTAACCTCACTTAAACCTTAGACTTCTATATAAGGAAATGACTCTCTCTGAAGGGTGAAAGAATGTTTAGACATTGCTCACTCTAATTTTTTGAAAGTAATTTAGAAAATACCATATGCTTTACTTTGGAAATTTTTCTGTCTCTTCATCTTCAGACCTGTGAAAATCATGTACATTGTACTGAGGCGGTGAGACTGAATTCTAGAGACTGGCAAAGACATGCAAACCATTTCCTCCTAGATGATTTGAGGGAGAAAGAGAATGTTTGGGTTTCTTTTATTAGGTAGTTTCTGTGCTGTAAGTATAGAATTTTGGCTGTATGTCTGCTGTATGTCTCACAAAACATATAAGTATACATTAATAAGGATCTAAAACAGGTGTTATTCTTGTTATAATATAGCCAGGCTGCAGACTATTTGACGAAGACATTAACATAGTAGATTGTACATTAAGATCTTTTTCTGAGCTAAAAGTTATCAAGTTGGACCTGGAAGAGCATTATAACAGGTCTTTTTATTGAAAGATCATCAAATAAAGAATTCAGTCTGCTGAAATAAGATGAGCTTGAATTAATATTTCAAAACTCCTGGTTTTTTTCTAATACTTGGGTAATTGGATGTGGTTTTCAAAGGAATGAGTTTTCTTTCAGTAAATTGTATCTGTATATTTTTCTCAATTGTTCTGGGTTTTGGAGGCCTTCACAGCTGACTAGTCATATTTAAAAATTAAAATGAAGGTATTAATAGGAATAAATGTGTTAAAACTGGTTCTGCAGAAGAATAGCAGGACTGTAATGAGTGGGTTTAGCATCAATGAATAGTTCAGAATTTTTAAAGCCAAGAAGAACCTTCAGGCTGAATGGAAAAATTATTGACTATTGTTAATTGGCAAAACTCTGGAAAGCCGTGTCATTTTTTTGTAGAGGTTTCGCACCTTTTTGAATGAGAGAATCAGTATCCAAATGATTTCTTCTGTTTTAATCCCATAATAAAAATTCAGTGCAATAAAACTATTTTAAAGAATGCAATTATTTGAAGTTTGTTTGTTTGAGATTTTTATTTTATTTTCTTTGTGTTCCAGGGTGCACGTGGCTTTGTGGGTAGTAAAGGTGAAGAAGGTGAAAAGGTAAATTATTCTATCAATTTATTTTATCGATTTAAATATATAAATATATATTATTTATTTTATCGATTTAACGATTTGATATATGGCGAACCAAGCAGAACTTTGTTCTGAAGGTCCTCCTTAACTCTTATCCATGAATAAAATTCTGGGTTTTTTTTGCTATGTAAATGAATTCTGAAACGCTTAAGAATAAGGAGGTTTTTATGCATGTTAATTGGTGTTATCAGTGCTTCTTTTAGAACCACTTTTTTTTGTTTTAAAAGATTTAATAATGAAGTCTAACAGAACCATAACCACTGGACTCCAGTAGTGTCTACTGCTACCTTATTTCTATGGTAACTAGTGAATGTTTATTTATACAGTATGAAATGCATGATGAGATGATATGTAGGTATTTATAGTACTTAATTATTGCTTTTGTACATTACAAATGCACTTTTATAGAAAGTTATTGTGTTGATCGCAACTACGAAATGTTTTACACACTTTTTTCCTAAGAACATAAATTTACTGCAATAGCAAAATTTAACATTTGCTACAGCATAACCGACTGCTAATTTCAAAAGGTTAATTTTCATTGATATACTTCTGCGTACCTACACAGTAGTTAACATCAGTTTTGTCTCCTGCACACATCTGACTCTGAGTAAATTGACTTGACTGCCAGTGGCCAAGCTGAATGCAGGTGCATTTACTTCTTCCTCAGACTGGAAGTTCAGTCCCTTTGCCTGATGGACTAGCATATTGCCGTAAGGACCTTCTTAGTATCCCAACAGCCATAAAACGTTTCCAAGTGTAAATCCCAGGAGAAGCCTTTCCTTGTTCTTCACCAGTGGGTATTGGAAAGAGAGCTTGAAGCAGTTTACCCTAATTGCAGATGCTCTGCAGTGGCCAGAAATAGTTCAAAAGCTTGTGCATTAAAATGGGAACTAAACTGGCTCTGTGGAAGGCTGTCTTGACTAACAAAATGCCAGCCTGGGTCGCTCTAGATGGTGCAACCTCATCTTCTTGTGTGGCTTCAGACAAGTAGGTCTTCACAGGTCATCAAAGATAAGTCTGTGTTGAGGGACAAGAGGAAGGAAGAGCCTGTTCTTAGCTTGCCTAATAGGAATTAAAGTAACAACAGTGATAGTTTACACTTGAAACTTCAGCTCCTAACCAAGCTACTGCCTGGTTACTGCTTTTTCACTAGTTTTGGCTGATGTGGCCGATTCAAGCAACCTGAATTAAGAGTCTTTTCTTGGATCATAGATAGTTTCTCTGTGCTTCAGCTCACTGTCTGAAAAAGGTGCAGAAGAGCATTTCTGCTGAATTTATGTCATAAAGATGAAGAGCGACAGATACTGCAATTCTGGCAGTATTCAGACTGAAGAAAATGGAGAGTAGGTAGCAGCTTCTGAATTTAGAAAAGTGCAATATATTTGTGAGTTAGGCTGCTTTGGACATGGGTATACTCACTCACCCACCATACTGCTTTAGAAGCGTCAGCCAGCTTTCCAGTGTTCACGTTTTAAAGAAAGCATGTTATGGATTAACAGAATTTAAGCAGATTTAAAGTTGTGGAGGTTTTTTTAGAAGGCAGTATTCCAGTAATCAGGAAGGAAGAAATATCAGAAGTAAAAACCAGCATCCATAGCAACTAACGTTTATAATGTGAAGATTCATTCTCTAAAAAAAGCACTTGTTAAGCTTGAGTGTTTCTAACTCCACCGACAGATCTTATTTCCTTGGTGGCATCATTATTCATCAGTTCTGAAGGGCTTGTGGATTTTTTTTCTTTTTTTTTCATAATTGCTCTGCAGCTGTGCTGTGCTTTCCTCAAGTTTTATGAATAAATTGTGTTTGGACACAGGCATGTGGTTCCAGCTGTTGCTGCCACTCTCTTTGCTTGATTTCCCCTATTTTAAGGCAGAGGTAAAATGACCCAACAACTGATAGTCACATTTTTCTTATCTGAAGCTGAGTCAGCACATTTAAACCATTTTTTTTTTCTTTTTGTCTTGTAACTTCAGAAGTTAATTAAAAGATCCCATTTAAAAGTATTTCCAATGTAGCTCTTAACAGTGTATTCTGCTGTCCTTCAAATAAAAGGAAACATACAAGTGGAAAGATTTTTACTTATCAGTGATCACTCAAAAATAATTTGGGACAGTCTCATCAGAAGCTACACATCGTGATTTGTGAGGAAAGAGTGTGTTTTAAGATTATGGGAAGTAGGACTCAGCCTGGGCTTTAGCAGTTACTCAGTTTAGCCTTAATTCAAATAATTATTGAAGAACAACAATGCTGTTTCCAGTAACTGAACTCCAGTATTAAAAATGTATCAACACCTCTGCATTTTAACATAGTGTCACAAAATAAAATAGTTGTGTACTGATTTGTGTGTAACAAACAAAATTAAAAAGCCTGGAACTTAAAATTGTATTTTTCCTAATACAGAAAAACTCTGCCCCATCTTGCATATCAAGGAACAAGAGAGTGTTTGCACACTGTTTTGCATATCACCTAGAGTGGGACGCAGCTGCCTAAACATGGGGTATTTGCCATTTCAAACTCTCTGCGGAGGTACATTAAAATGAACAATCCTGTATTTTTGTTTTGGTGACCATATCATTCCATAGGATTGAATACTTGAAACCAACTCAGCCTTATACCTCTCAGTTCACCAAATCAAACTAGTTGACTTTGGCTTTTATTCTACTACATTCTGCTTTGGCAGAGCAAGCTCTGGGGACATCAGGGAGACGTAGGCAACTGAGGTGAAAGTGATTGATTGTATGTAAATTAAAAATACAGGAGGCATCTATAATTTAAGCTATTGAGGTAGATTCTTTTAGGCTGTTTAAAGGTTTCTTTGCCACACTTGGTTCTCCTTGAGGAATCCAGAAGTCTTGTTCCGCCTCCCTCCTGTTTTTTTGGTCTCAGATTGAACTTAGTTCTCTCTTACAGAGGCCAGTAGTGGTAAGGGAAGCTACAGAACTGCGTGTGCAGGTGTTATGCTGCAAATTTTCCCTCCACGGAAAATATGCTCTCAGTGTAAATTTGTTTTAATTCTCCTTGGTATTCTGCTTTATTTGTGTTACTTAGATAATGACATTGTCTTATATGATAGTCTTATAGCTGCAACAAAAACATTGGTCTACCCTTCTATAGCATGACTGAAAAAGTATACGCTGAGAGCAGTTTTAATTGGTTTGCTGCCAGGAAGGCTGACTATATCATGTGGATCCATCCTCATTCTAATACTGTCAGAATTGTAATTTTTACAGTATGGGATAGAAAGTATGAGTATTAAATTTTATGATGATAGGAAGTCAGGAAGGACTGATAATAACTAGAAGAAGGTTTTAATATCCAGAATGTTCTTGGCAAATCAGAGATGTAGCCTGAAAAAAATAGGTTCCAACGTAGAAGGAATAAGTGCAAGGTACTACCTGTAGGGGAGAATAAATCCGAGCTGCGAAAAAACAAATTAAATAGTATCTACTCAGAAATTAAAATCTGAGGATTATTTGGATCAGAAGCTGAACCCAGGTAAATGGATTCAGGCAGTTGCAAATGAAAGACTCTTAATAAGATGTTTTATAGTGGAATATTGTCTGCAACACTAATTAAATAGTTCTGTGCTATTTGGTATTGGTAAGGCTTCAACTTAAAGGATGTTGAAAGGAGAGCACTGAGAATGACTGGTGCTCAGGAACACATAACCTTTGAGGAAGGATTGCATGAATGAAGATTACTTAGTGTAGAGTCAGCTGAAAAGAAATATGTAAACAGTCTTCAAATACATAAAACTGCTGCAAAGAGTAAAAGAATGGTATATTTGCTGTGTCTGTAGTAGATAACATGCAAAGCAATGGGCTGAAAATGCAGCAAGGAAGATGCTGTGTAGCCATTAGGAAAGGGTTTTTAATTTTAACACTGTTGTTTATTATGAAAGTAATTTCCTCTTCCAGTGGTCTGCACTTTTTATCCTGGTTACAGAAAAGGGAATAAGCTAAAGAAAGGCTTGCTTCATGAAAATACAGGAGATCAGATTATCGTAAATGATTTTCCCATTTTCTGTTAATCAAAATTATGCGAGGTATCACGCTGATTTCTAACTGGATAAGCACAGAGAACAGCAAGACGGTTTCATTTTCAGCGTATATCCTTGTTTGTTTTTAATGCCCAGTTAATGCTTTTCTGTGATAGGACAGTAAAGTTCTGGAACAGGTTGCCCAAAGTGATTGTGCAGCCTCTTTTCCTGGAGGTTTTCAAGACCAGCGCTGAGCAACCTGGCCTGACCCCTAGCTGACCCTGCTTTGAGCAGGAGGTTGGATTAGAGACCTCCTGAGGTCACGTCCAGCCTCAGTTATCCTGTGATTTTATGAATAGTGAACATGAATGTGATATTTTTCTGATTCGGCGCATGTGTTCACATTATAAATCCAGGTAAAAAAGGAGAACAATAAAAAGTGATAATGGTTTGGGTTTTGTTGTTTTTTGGGTTTGGGGTTTTTTTCCCCAAATATTGGCAGGGGTGGGGTGTGAATGTACGTTTAATTTACAGTATGGACTAATACTGTTCACCAGAATATGTTATAGGGAGATTTTTTAAGATGTGTATATACATTCACACACTCTTGTTTTGGAGCATCACATCTGGGGGTGACTGGTGCCCTTGCTTAAATATCCGATCACCTGTCAGCTGATGTTCTCTTCCTCATAGAAGCTGTCATGGAACACATGTTTGGGTAGCACTGTGCATGGTTGCTTGGATGATGGGTGTGTATGCATCCTCTGGGATATTTTTAGCTTAGGTTTGCTGAAACCCTATGAAACAGTTAATTTTCCAATACTAATAGTTACAAAATAAATTGTTCCACATAAATGAAATCTAAAGGTGTCTTCAAAATTTGTTAAGTACCAAAAAAAAGGAGAATCTTAAAATTTATTAGTATGAAATTTGCCATGCAGCTGTTGGGTTCTCTGATCACAGCTCCATTTACCTGAGCTGT